AGACACTACCAAGATACTACATGCCACGCAAGCTGCTCCCACCACTTCCCTGCCAGCACCTACTGCCGACTCCACCAAGATTCTTTATTGCATTATGTATGCTCATGTACAGAATGCAGCTGAGCCTGGTTCCTTCAACACCACCATCAATGAACTTTTCAAACTAAATAATATGCCTGGCCTCACATTCCCTGCATCACCACCTTCCACTGAGATCCTAAAATCTACTGCAAATATTACCAGCATCACCGCTGCTCCACCGCTGTCACAACCTCCACTAGACACAGAGATGGACCAATCAGAGACCACTGAGACGTCGGCAAACCCCACCAATGAGAGTCCACTACCGCTTGCATCCACTGCTAGAGCAACTGACTAGTCGGAAATCTCGCCTTCACCAGTTCAGCCACCAGCCAAGAGAGCAAAAACACAAGAAACTGCGGATGCACCTCACGGTGCCACTACCACTGACACTACTGCACCACAAGTCCGATACCTGAAGGGTGTATACTTCTACACAACCAAGCAGTATAAGAACAGAATGTTGTCTTCAGAAATCCATCAGCACCTCCAGGACGGAACAGTCAAGTATACCTACGACCAAACTGTTACATACACCACTGCAGACATGACCAGACTACTCTCTGCCAACACCCAACACCTTGTGGAAGTCGAGTACACCTCAAAGAGGAAATTCAGGATGCTTCTGAATGGGGACCTTGAAGACGGTACCCTCCTCTAGCACGACTATCCATGACCATTCACCATGAAGATAAGTTTCCCCAGCACTTCGCTGTCCACTAAAGCTGGGGTGTAGCTCCAATCAACCCTGTAACTGCTGTCTCTGCCCGACTGCGCTTCTCTTCGGGGAAGTCAGCGCAAGATAGAAGACGACGACACCCTCCAACCGGAGGGCCAAGAAAGAAGAAAGAAGAAGATGATCGTCACCCCCCCTCCAGGGGGCCACTGCCGGGTCACCATCTGGAGAAGACCCAGGCCGGAAGTACCGGCGAATCAACATGAATGAATGAATGAAAATGAACACCAACACACGACACTCCGCACAGGAGAGCACAGCGCTAGCACGATCGACATCAACCCTGCCCTTCTAGGGCAGGGTTGGTGCCAGAGCCCGAGTTTGTAGCTCACAAGATGAGAGGGGTACTTGTGTCTCCTCCCATGGGAGACTTAGGTCTCAGACACTCCCTAGACAGGGAGCCAGTGCTGGGCCACCACTTGGAAGGGCCCGGGCCTGGAGAATACCGGCGAATCTTTAACAACAACAACACCCCAGGTAGATTCGTTTGCGACTTGAAAAAGCCCACTGTGTGGGCGAAACGTTGTCAATAAAGGATCACATTATACTGCATATGTGTTTATATTTCCAGAAGATTACCAGGGAAACTACTCTGGTCGACAACAAGGAAGGAAGCAGTAAAGTCTCTACCTTGAATAGAAAAAGTGACTTCGGACACGGCCAAGAACCAGCCACACCACTAAGGGTGGACTCATGAGTTGGTTCTACGAGAAGGACACAGCATAACTGCTTATCCATAAGCAAACTAGATCTGATAATATTGACTTGTGCACCAGAGTCCATGACCTCATGAACAGGCATGTTTACAACAGACGCTTGTACCAAGGGACCTATTGTTACATAGGAATTAACTTGCAAACAGACATTTGTTCCACTGTATCCCCAAAAATATCATTGTCGAAAAAATGTGAAGCAACATCATCAACGAGACTTTCTTCCTCGAGACTGCATAAGGCATCAAATGAACTGTGAACGGGGATGGAGTGTACATTATTATCTACTGTAACCACTGGATGGTCTGACAGGGGCACTTGGATTCCCCTGAATTTGAAGAACGTGAGTGGTTTGGTTATTTTGAGAACCATGACTTCTATTACCTCTCCTGGTTCTACGGTAGGAACAGCCATGGAAGGATCTATAGTACCTACTATATATATATATATATATATATATATATATATATATATATATATATATATATATATATATATATATATATATATATATATAATATATATATATACATTGGGAAGATGGAGGGAATATTTTGAGGAATTGTTAAATGTTGATGAAGATAGGGAAGCTGTGATTTCGTGTATAGGACAAGGAGGAATAACGTCTTGTAGGAGTGAGGAAGAGCCAGTTGTGAGTGTGAGGGAAGTTCGTGAGGCAGTAGGTAAAATGAAAGGGGGTAAGGCAGCCGGGATTGATGGGATAAAGATAGAAATGTTAAAAGCAGGTGGGGATATAGTTTTGGAGTGGTTGGTGCAATTATTTAATAAATGTATGGAAGAGGGTAAGGTACCTAGGGATTGGCAGAGAGCATGCATAGTTCCTTTGTATAAAGGCAAAGGGGACAAAAGAGAGTGCAAAAATTATAGGGGGATAAGTCTGTTGAGTATACCTGGTAAAGTGTATGGTAGAGTTATTATTGAAAGAATTAAAAGTAAGACTGAGAATAGGATAGCAGATGAACAAGGAGGCTTTAGGAAAGGTAGGGGGTGTGTGGACCAGGTGTTTACAGTGAAACATATAAGTGAACAGTATTTAGATAAGGCTAAAGAGGTCTTTGTGGCATTTATGGATTTGGAAAAGGCGTATGACAGGGTGGATAGGGGGGCAATGTGGCAGATGTTGCAGGTGTATGGTGTAGGAGGTAGGTTACTGAAAGCAGTGAAGAGTTTTTACGAGGATAGTGAGGCTCAAGTTAGAGTACATAGGAAAGAGGGAAATTATTTCCCAGTAAAAGTAGGCCTTAGACAAGGATGTGTGATGTCACCGTGGTTGTTTAATATATTTATAGATGGGTTGTAAGAGAAGTAAATGCGAGGGTCTTGGCAAGAGGTGTGGAGTTAAAAGATAAAGAATCACACATAAAGTGGGAGTTGTCACAGTTGCTCTTTGCTGATGACACTGTGCTCTTGGGAGATTCTGAAGAGAAGTTGCAGAGATTGGTGGATGAATTTGGTAGGGTGTGCAAAAGAAGAAAATTAAAAGTGAATACAGGAAAGAGTAAGGTTATGAGGATAACAAAAATATTAGGTGATGAAAGATTGGATATCAGATTGGAGAGAGAGAGTATGGAGGAGGTGAATGTATTCAGATATTTGGGAGTGGACGTGTCAGCGGATGGGTCTATGAAGGATGAGGTGAATCATAGAATTGATGGGGAAAAGGGTGAGTGGTGCACTTAGGAGTCTGTGGAGACAAAGAACTTTGTCCTTGGAGGCAAAGAGGGGAATGTATGAGAGTATAGTTTTACCAACACACTTATAAGGGTGTGAAGCATGGGTGATGAATGTTGCAGCGAGGAGAAGGCTGGAGGCAGTGGAGATGTCATGTCTGAGGGCAATGTGTGGTGTGAATATAATGCAGAGAATTCGTAGTTTGGAAGTTAGGAGGAGGTGCGGGATTACCAAAACTGTTGTCCAGAGGGCTGAGGAAGGGTTGTTGAGGTGGTTCGGACATGTAGAGAGAATGGAGCGAACAGAATAACTTCAAGAGTGTATCAGTCTGTAGTGGAAGGAAGGCGGGGTAGGGGTCGGCCTAGGAAAGGTTGGAGGGAGGGGGTAAAGGAGGTTTTGTGTGCGAGGGGCTTGGACTTCCAGCAGGCGTGCGTGAGCGTGTTTGATAGGAGTGAATGGAGACGAATGGTTTTTAATACTTGACGTGCTGTTGGAGTGTGAGCAAAGTAACATTTATGAAGGGGTTCAGGGAAACCGGCAGGCCGGACTTGAGTCCTGGAGATGGGAAGTACAGTGCCTGCACTCTGAAGGAGGGGTGTTAATGTTGCAGTTTAAAAACTGTAGTGTAAAGCACACTTCTGGCAAGACAGTGATGGAGTGAATGATGGTGAAAGTTTTTCTTTTTCGGGCCACCCTGCCTTGATACTTTCAAGCGAGCTATTTACATCCCCTTTATCCCCAAATATCATTGAATACTCCCAAATAACATTTGAATACTCCCTAATAACATTTGACATCTGTAACTCAACCACCAAATTACCTTCTCAGTCACACATTTCATTAACTGAAAATTACATCTCATCCATCAAACAATACTCATAATAAAAGTTTACTCACTCATTCACCAGACTTTACACCATAAACACAAAAAATAAGACATACACTTATGATATGAGCACAAAAAACATGAACACAAACCTATCACACAGACACTTAGAACATGATCACCACCAACTAAAACATATCGTATACACAAAAAAATATAAGACAACCACCAACTAAGACAACATAAACACCAAAAACTAAGACATGATTACTGGCTAAGCATCCGTTGTCGTACCCCAGCTAGGTTGTACATCTTACTTCACACACAATAGATCACTGCATATTGATGAGTTAAACATTTTGAGATTAAGAAGACTGATAATACTAAGTTTCCCTTTCGTGGAATATTGGGAGAATGAGACGATATGATAACCACCAATAACAGTCAATAAAAAAAAATGTGTTTAGGACAAAAAGCTGCGAGAAAAGGCAGTGTAGAAACACTGTCTCTAGTATGTATTTTTAAATAAATTGGAATGAGCTACAGAAGCTGTAGTAAGTATAAAACCTATTTTAGTGCAAAATTATTTAAAAGGAGGCGGGACACCATGAGTGATGTTCATTTCCTATAATTACAAATGAATAACTACAAATAAGTAGCTACATAGACACGGGATAAAGAATTAAAGACATAAAGCTGTAGAATAAGTTTTTATTGTTCCAACGTATCGCTCTGTGTAGAGATGATAAAAATCTTCTAAGGGAAATTCGTTGTCACAATAAAAACTTCCTCTACACGTTTTTTTTTTCCGTGTACAAACACACACACATAATCCTGCAAAATGCCCATATAATTAACACCAAACTAAAGTATAAGCAGACGCTCATGTAACAAATATGCTCGACGGAACAGGACCTTGGTAAAATAAATAGTGAAACGGTTGACAACTTACATTTCCGGAACGAAACAACTCGTTGAGTATATTGACGAGGTGAAGAAGTCTTCCGTCCTTCCTGCTGAACCTGGTGCCTCCCATCAGCGCCCACAGGATGTTGATGGCTGATACACCTACCATGCCCTGACAGTCACACATAAATACTTATTAGTGCGTAAGTTTGCATGCGAATAAAAAATGTTTACTTACATGTGTATGGGCTGCCTCGCTTATACGCAACCATTCCCGAAGTGAGTGTAGCAACAGCGCCTTCTATGGCGCTTAGGATTTCATTAACGTTAATAAATTTAATAAAAAAGTAATGTCGATTATTCTAAGTAAATATTAGTCTACTTGGAGGGTATATCGGGATCACCGCCCACACGACCAGGACCATCACCAGAGCTAATAAGTTTAAAAAAACAGCTTATTACTCCTGGTGATGAGAGAGATTTTCCAGTCAGTTGAACATCGTGTTCTAGTGTCTTTGTAACATTGTTTTCCTACTGACATCTTACTTAGAGTATATCTGGAGAGGGTTCATGTATCAACGTCCCCGTGGCCTAGTCTGTGACCAGGCCTCGTGGTGAATCAGGGTCTGATCAACCAGGCTGTTACTGTTGGCCGCGCGTAAACAGACGTAGGAACCACAGCTCAGCTGATCAGGTACTGGCTTTAGTGCCTGTCCAGTGCCTTCTTGAAGATAGCCAGGGGTCTATTCGTAATGCCCCTTACGTATGCTGGGAGACAGTTGATCAGTCTTGGACCCCTGAGACTTATAGTGTTGTCTCTTAATGTACTCGTGGCGCCCCTGCTTTTCATTGGTGGGATGTCGCATCTCCTGCCGAGTCTTTTGCTTTCGTAGGGATTAATTTTCATGTGCAAATATGTTACTAATCCCCCTAGGATTTTCCAAGTGTATATTATCATATATTTTTCCCGCCTGCGTTCCAGGGAATACAAATCAAGGGACTTCAACCATTCCAAGTAATTTAGGTGCTTATGTGTGCCGTGAAGGCTCTCTGTAGATTCTGCGAGTTAGCAATTTCGTCTGCCTTGAAAGGGCCCGTTAGTATACAGCACTATTCCAGAGTAGAGAGAACAAGCAATTTTGAAGAAAACCATGATGGGCTTAGCATCCCTAGTTTTGAAGGTTCTCATTATCCATCCTAAAATTTCTCTAGCAGATGCAACACATACATTATTGTGGTCTTTGAAAGTGAGATTGTCTGACAATATCACTCCCAGATCCTTCACAATAGTCTTTCGCTCTATCGTGTAGCTGGAATTTGTTTTATACTTTGATACAGCATCAATTTCCTCAAGGTTTCCATATCGGAGTAATTGAAATTTCTCTTCATTGAACTTCATATTGTTTTCTGCTACCCAGGTAAAGATTGGTTGATGTCCGTTTGGAGTCTTGCAGTGTTGTTGATGGATGATACTGTCATGGAAGTTCGGATGTCATCCACAAAGGAAGACACGGTACTGTGGCTTATATTTCTGTCTATGTCAGATATAAGGATGAGGAACATAGTGGGAGCGAGTACTGTGTAATGGGAGCGAGTACTGTGTAATGGGAGCGAGTACTGTGTAATGGGAGCGAGTACTGTGTAATGGGAGCGAGTGCTGTGTAATGGGAGCGAGTACTATGTAATGGGAGCGAGTACTGTGTAATGGGAGCGAGTACTATGTAATGGGAGCGAGTACTGTGTAATGGGAGCGAGTACTGTGTAATGGGAGCGAGTACTGTGTAATGGGAGCGAGTACTGTGTAATGGGAGCGAGTACTGTGTAATGGGAGCGAGTATTGTGTAATGGGAGCGAGTACTGTGTAATGGGAGCGAGTACTGTGTAAGGGAGCGAGTACTGTGTAATGGGAGCGAGTACTGTGTAATGGGAGCGAGTACTGTGTAATGGGAGCGAGTACTGTGTAATGGGAGCGAGTATTGTGTAATGGGAGCGAGTACTGTGTAATGGGAGCGAGTATTGTGTAATGGGAGCGAGTACTGTGTAATGGGAGCGAGTATTGTGTAATGGGAGCGAGTACTGTGTAATGGGAGCGAGTACTGTGTAATGGGAGCGAGTACTGTGTAATGGGAGCGAGTACTGTGTAATGGAGCGAGTACTGTGTAATGGGAGCGAGTATTGTGTAATGGAGCGAGTACTGTGTAATGGGAGCGAGTACTGTGTAATGGGAGCGAGTACTGTGTAATGGGAGCGAGTACTGTGTAATGGAAGCGAGTACTGTGTATGGGAGCGAGTACTGTGTAATGGAGCGAGTATTGTGTAATGGGAGCGAGTACTGTGTAATGGGAGCGAGTACTGTGTAATGGGAGCGAGTACTGTGTAATGGGAGCGAGTACTGTGTAATGGGAGCGAGTACTGTGTAATGGGAGCGAGTACTGTGTAATGGGAGCGAGTACTGTGTAATGGAGCGGTACTGTGTAATGGAGCGAGTACTGTGTAATGGGAGCGAGTACTATGTAATGGGAGCGAGTACTGTGTAATGGGAGCGAGTACTATGTAATGGGAGCGAGTACTGTGTAATGGGAGCGAGTACTGTGTAATGGGAGCGAGTACTGTGTAATGGGAGCGAGTACTGTGCCTGTTCTATTTGTGAGGAAGTTATTGATCAATCTACCAACTTTTCCTTCACGACTGATCCAGAACGCAGATGCTCAACAAGGAATTATGTAAAGTTTATTAAAGTAAATTCTCTCTTGTTTGTAATTCAAGCAAATGTACACAACTTGTTTCTCCCTCCGCTGGAGTAATTGACTAAAATATTCCAGAAAAAAAACTGTTTTTTTTTGTTGGCTATGTATTGTCTCTTGAACAAAGTGCTCTTAATCATGAAGGATCTTTTTATCTATGTACCTGGCCCAGGGAGCAAGTATTTCATTGTTAATGGACTGATTTATGTTGATGCAAGACAGAATGATATCGGCCATTTTTATTGACTGTTTTTTGTTTACTGTGTAGATGCTTGTCTCTAGCATTATTATATAGCATTTATTGGGAAGTTCTAAACCTGTATCGCTCATACACTTCCTTGTCTCGCCCAGCACACTGTTAAAAGCTCTAATATTTAAGAACACAATGGATTAATGTGACCTTGGCCGACACTACACCTCCCATTGCGTGTACCTTATTTATATCTGCATTAACTGTTAATAGTCCCGCGTATCATCGTCCCCGCGGCCCGACCTCATACCAGAACTCTTGGACTGAACAACAGATATGACGGAATGAAGAATTAAGGAACACACAAGAAAAATATAATGAGTTTTTGCTCAATATAAGTTGATGTTCCTAAGAATTACAGATCGTCTAATATGTTTATGGAACAATAAAAAGAAAATCAGTCCTGCCACAAAACAAAACGTTTAACATGTTTCAGTTTCAATATTCATATGACAAGATAGTTGCTCCCTGAGTATCTGATATCTAGCAATCTATTTTGTTTGTCAATTTTTTCCTTTTCGTCCACCCAAAAATAATCCAATACAGAGAGATACGTCGTCCAGTTTTCATTCCTAACTTATTTACTTGTAATAAATCATGTGCCTGGCTAAAACAAATCCGAATGTTTGCATGGAAGATAATGTAGAATACTGCAAAATTCACCTCACCAGAGCATGAGAAACTACTGGATAATCTAACACTGAGATATTTTAATGTGATCGAGATATAAATTTGTGTAAATTCTTGAGTACAAACACCGTGCATGTTTGTTGCTCCCTAAATGTGTTCAACGTAAAGATAACAGTATATAATTGTAAATAATCTTATGTAACAATCTTAGTAATGTTGGTCCACAGTATTTAATTACCTGGAGTGAGATGCTGCCTTTGGTCTCCTTGATCTCCTTGATAAGTTCGCTGGCTTCCTCTTGGATAACTTCCTCATGGGAACGCTTACCGAACCCCAGATCACGAAACTTGTGCAGTGTGAACCGCCTCTGTTCCTTCCAAAAGTCATTCTCCACAAACATTACTCCTGCCGGATTATGTATAAATTGTGTAGTTATGACAAAATGTAAATCTGTGTTCCATACACATATTTGTTTAGTTGAATGACAAGTGAAACAGCAATCAAGACTAGATCTAAGAAGCTGTGAATGTATATATCAGTGGTAGGATATTCCGACAACTTTGTTCATAAGATACAATATGAGATTTATGACATTTTTATTGAGTGGTTGTTTCACCCACCAGGAAGTTTATCAATTCAGAATTCATTAAGTCCCCGGTGGACTAAACGGCTTCTCAATAAACCAAATATTATTATTATTTTTTTTTATTATCACAATGTCCGATTCCCACCAAGGCAGGGTGGCCCGAAAAAGAAAAACTTTCACCATCATTCACTCCATCACTGTCTTGCCAGAAGGGTGCTTTACACTACAGTTTTTAAACTGCAACATTAACACCCCTCCTTCAGAGTGCAGGCACTGTACTTCCCATCTCCAGGACTCAAGTCCGGCCTGCCGGTTTCCCTGAACCCCTTCATAAATGTTACTTTGCTCACACTCCAACAGCACGTCAAGTATTAAAAACCATTTGTCTCCATTCACTCCTATCAAACACGCTCACGCATGCCTGCTGGAAGTCCAAGCCCCTCGCACACAAAACCTCCTTTACCCCCTCCCTCCAACCTTTCCTAGGCTGACCCCTACCCCGCCTTCCTTCCACTACAGACTGATACACTCTTGAAGTCACTCTGTTTCGCTCCATTCTCACTACATGTCCGAACCACCTCAACAACCCTTCCTCAGCCCTCTGGACAACAGTTTTGGTAATCCCGCACCTTCTCCTCACTTCCAAACTACGAATTCTCTGCATTATATTCACACCACACATTGCCCTCAGACATGACATCTCCACTGCCTCCAGCCTTCTCCTCGCTGCAACATTCATCACACATGCTTCACACCCATATAAAAGTGTTGGTAAAACTATACTCTCATACATTCCCCTCTTTGCCTCCAAGGACAAAGTTCTATGTCTCCACAGACTCCTAAGTGCACCACTCACCCTTTTCCCCTCATCAGTTCTATGATTCACCTCATCTTTCATAGACCCATCCGCTGACATGTCCACTCCCAAATATCTGAATACATTCACCTCCTCCATACTCTCTCCCTCCAATCTGATATCCAATCTTTCTTCACCTAATCTTTTTGTTATCCTCATAACCTTACTCTTTCCTGTATTCACTTTTAATTTTCTTCTTTGCACACCCTACCAAATTCATCCACCAATCTCTGCAACTTCTCTTCAGAATCTCCCAAGAGCACAGTGTCATCAGCAAAGAGCAACTGTGACAACTCCCACTTTATGTGTGATTCTTTATCTTTTAACTCCACGCCTTTTGCCAAGACCCTCGCATTTACTTCTCTTACAACCCCATCTATAAATATATTAAACAACCATGGTGACATCACACATCCTTGTGTAAGGCCTACTTTTACTGGGAAATTATTTCCCTCTTCCCCACATACTCTAACTTGAGCCTCACTATCCTCGTAAAAACTCTTCACTGCTTTCAGTAACCTACCTCCAACACCATACACCTGCAACATCTGCCACATTGCCCCCCTATCCACCCTGTCATACGCCTTTTCCAAATCCATAAATGCCACAAAGACCTCTTTAGCCTTATCTAAATACTGTTCACTTATATGTTTCACTGTAAACACCTGGTCCACACACCCCCTACCTTTCCTAAAGCCTCCTTGTTCATCTGCTATCCTATTCTCCGTCTTTCTCTTAATTCTTTCAGTAATAACTCTAAGATACACTTTACCAGGTATACTCGACAGACTTATCCCCCTATAATTTTTGCACTCTGTTTTGTCCCCTTTGCCTTTATACAAAGGAACTATGCATGCTCTCTGCCAATCCCTAGGTACCTTACCCTCTTCCATACATTTATTAAATAATTGCACCAACCACTCCAAAACTATATCCCCACCTGCTTTTAACATTTCTATCTTTATCCCATCAATCCCGGCTGCCTTACCCCCTTTCATTTTACCTACTGCCTCACGAACTTTCCCCACACTCACAACTGGCTCTTCCTCACTCCTACAAGATGTTATTCCTCCTTGCCCTGTACACGAAATCACAGCTTCCCTATCTTCATCAACATTTAACAATTCCTCAAAATATTCCCTCCATCTTCCCAATACCTCTAACTCTCCATTTAATAACTCTCCTCTTCTATTTTAACTGACAAATCCATTTGTTCTCTTGGCTTCCTTAACTTGTTAATCTCACTCCAAAACTTTTTCTTATTTTCAACAAAATTTGTTGATAACATCTCACCCACTCTCTCATTTGCTCTCTTTTTACATTGCTTCACCACTCTCTTAACCTCTCTCTTTTTTTCTCCATATACTCTTCCCTCCTTGCATCACTTCTACTTTGTAAAAACTTCTCATATGCTAACTTTTTCTCCCTTACTGCTCTCTTTACATCATCATTCCACCAATCGCTCCTCTTCCCTCCCGCACCCACTTTCCTGTAACCACAAACTTCTGCTGAACACTCTAACACTACATTTTTAAACCTACCCCATACCTCTTCGACCCCATTGCCTATGCTCTCATTAGCCCATCTATCCTCCAATAGCTGTTTATATCTTACTCAAACTGCCTCCTCTTTCAGTTTATAAACCTTCACCTCTCTCTTCCCTGATGCTTCTATTCTCCTTGTACCCCATTTACCTTTTACTCTCAGTGTAGCTACAACTAGAAAGTGATCTGATATATCTGTGGCCCCTCTATAAACATGTACATCCTGAAGTCTACTCAACAATCTTTTATTTACCAATACATAATCCAACAAACTACTGTCATTTCGCCCTACATCATATCTTGTATACTTATTTATCCAAATAATGTCTTATTAATAAATAAAAATTCTGAAATTATAGTAATCCAGGAGGGACCGAAGCCTCTCAACTTTGCTCTGCAAAGTATTGGTTACTTGTATAACAACGATCAAATTGCTGCTCTACACATTGTGAATAGGATCAACACCATATTTTATATTAGCATCCCAGCTGTGGGTAACATCACTGCAGTGAGACATTTAGACAGTTTGTAAACTGACCTCAGAGTTCTTAAACTGGTGCAAGAACTATGGAGTTGTAGCATCCAATACCCGTAAGGAAATGAGATAGATCTGGCAAAGAATTGTCTGAATAATGTATGCATATATTATTTTTAATAAAAGAGCTTTTGCTTCATCAACTGACCTCTTTGTTTGTCATTAAAGAAAATATTGGAAAATATATTTTCAGGTCGTCCATCAAGGTCATCGTTGAGGATTGACTCCTTAACCGCCTCCCAGCCGTTGACGATGATGGTCGCTTGTGAGCCGAAGTAGAGACCAATGATGTTACCGTAAGTGGACGACATCTGCCAGAGTTGCTTGTAGATATGCTCACTCTTCATGTTAGGTAGATACCCAACCAAAGGTAGCCGCACCGGACCTAGTTAAAAAATGTTATATATTTTACAATAATCTACTCCGAAGATGCAAGTTGTGCAGTGATGGCCTCGGATAATCTAACAAAAAGAAAAAAATATTGATACTTCTCCTTCAGGCTGATTGAATATTCTACTCCAACTTCCTCCCTATTCTTTATATAGAAACTTTAATATTTTGTGTAAAATGATGTATAAGTTTTAAAGGATACATTGACGGTACAAAGATGTTAGTATAAAAAACAAAATGCAAAAAGTTTGAGAGATACATAAGAAATTCAAAGGTGAATTTAACAAAACTTTTCATCCATATTAAAGCTGTACTGTTACACTGAGACGTCGGAGCAGAAAACGCTGCCCTGGCAGTTTTAAAAAGACATCCCACATGAAGGTGTTATTTATTCCACACGTGACTTGACTGGTACTGAGGTGACCTGAGGAAGCAGGTGTCACCACAGTGGCGTGCTCACCTGGGGAAGCAGGTGTCACCTACAGTAAGGTACTCACCTGAAGAAGCAGGTGTCACCTACAGTGACGTGCTCACCTGGGGAAGCAGGTGTCACTAGCAATGAGGTACTCACCTGGGGAAGCAGGTGTCACCTACAGTAAGGTACTCACCTGAAGAAGCAGGTGTCACCTACAGTGACGTGCTCACCAGGGGAAATAGGTGTCACTTGCAATGAGGTACTCACCTGGGGAAGCAGGTATCACCTACAGTGACGTGCTCACCTGGGGAAGCAGGTGTCACTAGCAATGAGGTACTCACCTGGGGAAGCAGGTGTCACCTACAGTAAGGTACTCACCTGAAGAAGCAGGTGTCACCTACAGTGACGTGCTCACCAGGGGAAGTAGGTGTCACTTGCAATGAGGTACTCACCTGGGGAAGCAGGTGTCACCGCAGTGACGTGCTCACCTGGGGAAGCAGGTGTCACTAGCAATGAGGTACTCACCTGAGGAAGCAGGTGTCACCTACAGTGACGTGCTCACCTGGGGAAGCAGGTGTCACTAGCAATGAGGTACTCACCTGAGGAAGCAGGTGTCACTTACAGTGGCGTGCTCACCTGGGGAAGCAGGTGTCACTAGCAATGAGGTACTCACCTGGGGAAGCAGGTGTCACCTACAGTAATGTACTCACCTGGGGAAGCAGGTGTCACCAACAATGAGGTACTCACCTGGGGGAAGCAGGTGTCACTAACAGTAAGGTACTCACCTGGTGAAGCAGGTGTCACTAACAATGAGGTACTCACCTGGGGGAAGCAGGTGTCACTAAGAATGAGGTGCTCACCTGGTGAAGCAGGTGTCACCAACAATGAAGTACTCACCTGGGGAAGCAGGTGTCACTAACAGTAAGGTACTCACCTGGTGAAGCAGGTGTCACTAACAATGAGGTACTCACTTGGGGAAGCAGGTGTCACTAACAATGAGGTACTCACCTGGGGAAGCAGGTGTCACTAAGAATGAAGTACTCACCTGGGGAAGCAGGTGTCACTAACAATGAGGTACTCACCTTGGGAAGCAGGTGTCACTAAGAATGAAGTACTCACCTGGGGAAGCAGGTGTCACTAACAATGAGGTACTCACTTGGGGAAGCAGGTGTCACTAACAATGAGGTACTCACCTTGGGAAGCAGGTGTCACTAAGAATGAAGTACTCACCTGGGGAAGCAGGTGTCACTAACAATGAGGGACTCACTTGGGGAAGCAGGGTGTTACTAACAATGAGGTAAACCCAAACTGGGAAGCAGTGTCACTAACAATGAGGTACTCACCTGGGGAAGCAGGTGTCACTAACAATGAGGTGCTGACCTGGAGAAACAGGTGTCACTAACAACGAGGTACCCATATGGGGAAACAGGTATCACTAACAATGAGGTACCCACCTGGAGAAGCAGGTGTCACTAACAATGAGGTACTCACCTGAGGGAAGCAGGTGTCACTAACAATGAGGTGCTCACCTGGGGAAGCAGGTGTCACTAACAATGAGGTACTCACCTGGGAAAGCAGGTGTCACTAACAATGAGGTGCTGACCTGGAGAAACAGGTGTCACTAACAATGAGGTACCCAACTGGGGAAGCAGGTGTCACTAACAATAAGGTGCTGACCTGGAGAAACAGGTGTCACTAACAATGAGGTACCCACCTGGGGAAGCAGGTGTCACTAACAATGAGATACCCACCTGGGGAAGCAGGTGTCACTAACAATGAGGTACCCACCTGGGAAGCAGGTGTCATTAACAATGAGATACCCACCTGGGGAAGCAGGTGTCACTAACAATGAGGTACCCACCTGGGGAAGCAGGTGTCATTAACAATGAGATACCCACCTGGGGAAGCAGGTGTCACTAACAATGAGGTACACACCTGGAGAAGCAGATGTCACTAACAATGAGGTACTCACCTGGGGGAAGCAGGTGTCACTAAGAATGAGGTGCTCACCGGTGAAGCAGGTGTCACCAACAATGAGGTACTCACTTGGGGAAGCAGGTGTCACTAACAATGAGGTACTCACCTTGGGAAGCAGGTGTCACTAAGAATGAAGTACTCACCTGGGGAAGCAGGTGTCACTAACAATGAGGTACTCACCTGGGGAAGCAGGTGTTACTGACAATGAGGTACTCAACTGGGGAAGCAGGTGTCACTAACAATGAGGTACTCACCTGGGGAAGCAGGTGTCACTAACAATGAGGTGCTGACCTGGAGAAACAGGTGTCACTAACAACGAGGTACCCACATGGGGAAACAGGTATCACTAACAATGAGGTACCCACCTGGAGAAACAGGTGTCACTAACAATGAGGTACTCACCTGGGGAAGCAGGTGTCACTAACAATCAGGTGCTGACCTGGAGAAACAGGTGTCACTAACAAAGAGTTACCCAACTGGGGAAGCAGGTGTCACTAACAATGAGGTGCTGACCTGGAGAAACAGGTGTCACTAACAATGAGGTACCCACCTAAGGAAGCAGGTGTCACTAACAATGAGATACCCACCTGGGGAAGCAGGTGTCACTAACAATGAGGTACCCACCTGGGGAAGCAGGTGTCATTAACAATGAGGTACCCACCTAGGGAAGCAGATGTCACTAATAATGAGGTACCCACCTAGGGAAGCAGGTGTCATTAACAATGAGATACCCACCTGGGGAAGCCGGTGTCACTAACAATGAGGTACACACCTGGAGAAGCAGATGTCACTAACAATGAGGTACTTACCTGGGGGAAGCAGGTGTCACTAACAATGAGGTACTGACCTGGGGAAACAGGTGTCACTAACAATGAGATACCCACCTGGTGAAGCAGGTGTCGCTAACAATGAGGTAGTCACATGGGGGAAGCAGGTGTCACTAACAATGAGGTACCCACCTGGGGAAGCAGGTGTCACTAACAATGAGGTACTCACCTGAGGGAAGCAGGTGTCACTAACAATGAGGTGCTCACCTGGGGAAGCAGGTGTCACTAACAATGATGTACTCACCTGGGGAAACAGGTGTCACTAACAATGAGGTACCCACCAGGGGAAGGAGATGTCACTAACAATGAGGTACCCACCTGGGGAAGCAGGTGTCACTAACAATGAGGTACTCACCTGGGAAAGCAGGTGTCACTAACAATGAGGTACCCACCTGGAGAAGCAGGTGTCACTAACAATGAGGTACTCACCTGGGGAAGCAGGTGTCACTAACAATGAGGTACTCACCTGGGGAAGCAGATGTCACTAACAATGAGGTACTCACCTGTGGAAGCAGGTGTCACAAACAATGAGGTACCCACCTGGGAAAGCAGGTGTCACTAACAATGACGTACCCACCTGGAGAAGCAGGTGTCACAAACAATGAGGTACTCACCTGGGAAAGCAGGTGTCACTAACAATGAGGTACCCACCTGGAGAAGCAGGTGTCACTAACAATGAGGTACTCACCTGGGAAAGCAGGTGTCACAAACAATGAGGTACCCACCTGGGAAAGCAGGTGTCACTAACAATGAGGTACCCACCTGGGAAAGCAGATGTCACAAACAATGAGGTACCCACCTGGGAAAGCAGATGTCACTAACAATGAGGTACCCACCTGGGAAAGCAGGTGTCACTAACAATGAGGTACCCACCTGGGAAAGCAGGTGTCACTAACAATGAGGTACCCACCTGGGGAAGCAGGTGTCACAAACAATGAGGTACCCACCTGGGAAAGCAGGTGTCACTAACAATGAGGTACCCACCTGGGGAAGCAGGTGTCACTAACAATGAGGTACCCACCTGGGAAAGCAGGTGTCACTAACAATGAGATACTCACCTGGGGAAGCAGGTGTCACTAACAATGAGGTACTCACCTGGGGAAGCAGATGTCACTAACAATGAGATACTCACCTGGGGAAGAAGGTGTCACTAACAATGAGGTACTCACCTGGGGAAGAAGGTGTCACAAACAATGAGGTACCCACCTGGGAAAGCAGGTGTCACTAACAATGAGGTACCCACCTGGGAAAGCAGGTGTCACTAACAATGAGGTACCCACCTGGGAAAGCAGGTGTCACTAACAATGAGGTACCCACCTGGGAAAGCAGGTGTCACTAACAATTGAGGTACCCACCTGGGAAAGCAGGTGTCACTAACAATGAGGTACCCACCTGGGAAAGCAGGTGTCACTAACAATGAGGTACCCACCTGGTGGGAAGCCTCGAGGTTTGCGGGAGCCCAGGTAGAGGAACCAGACCAGCAGAGCCACTAACACCAACAACAACATCTTCAACACGTCTTTGCAATTACTCTGAAGTTAAAGTAAATAAATGTAAAGATTTATCAACATTTGTATATTTTTCATGAGCATAAATTTATTTTCTTCGTATAAATAAAAAATATGAATAAAATATAATATTTCTTTAATTATTTTGGAGACAGTTTGCGGGTATATTTTAATTGTTGATAATTTCACCAGAAACAATGAAATGTCAAGTGACACGATAATATTAACATAAGCTTCGAGACATGTTAGAAAGAGTGTCTTGGAGAAGGCAGAGAAGTCTATGTGAAAATAGCAGTTTCCAATATATAACTGAGTTCCTGCAGGTGACATCCCGGTTTACTGACCAGTAACTGGTTAGCCGTGTTGGAGGTCAACCATACACACATGTTGGAGGTCAAACATACACACATGTTGGTGGTCAACCATACACTCATGTTGGAGGTCAACCATACACACATGTTGGAGGTCAACCATACAAAACATGTTTGGGGATCAACTATACACACATGTTGGAGGTCAACCATACACTCATGTTGGAGGTCAACCATACACACATGTTGGAGGTCAACCATACGCACATGTTGGAGGTCAACCATACACACATGTTGGAGGTCAACCATACACTCATGTTGGAGGTCAACCATACACACATGTTGGAGGTCAACCATACACACATGTTGGAGGTCAAACATAAACACACACATGTTGGAGGTCAACTATACACACATGTTGGAGGTCAAACATAAACACACACATGTTGGAGGTCAACTATACACACATGTTGGAGGTCAACTATACACACATGTTGGAGGTCAACTATACACACATGTTGGAGGTCAACTATACACACATGTTGGAGGTCAACCATACACACATGTTGGAGGTCAACCAAACACACATGTTGGAGGTCAACCATACACACATGTTGGAGGTCAAACATAAACACACACATGTTGGAGGTCAACTATACACACATGTTGGAGGTGAACTATACACACATGTTGGAGGTCAACTATACACACATGTTGGAGGTCAACTATACACACATGTTGGAGGTCAACCATACACACATGTTGGAGGTCAACCATACACACATGTTGGAGGTCAACCATACACACATGTTGGAGATCAAACATACACACACATGTTGGAGGCCAACCATACACACATGTTGGTGGTCAACCATACACACATGTTGTAAGTCAACCATACACACATGTTGGAGTACAACCATACACACATGTTGGTGGTCAACCATACACACATGTAGTAAGTCAACCATACACACATGTTGGAGTACAACCATACACACATGTTGGTGGTCAACCATACACACACATGTTGGAGGTCAACCATACACAAATGCTGAAGGTCAACCATACACACATGTTGGAAGTATAACCAGTTTGTTTGGTGAACTGAAAGCGTGGAGTAAATGATACGTCTTCGGAGGCTTCTTACTTTATTGTTAAGTCGTGGTGGGTACACAGGCTTGTGTGTTGTGCCCATGGCCCGGGAGGGCCATGCCCACGAGGGAGAGAGAGTTGGCCTTTTTAACTGAGTGAAGGGTGTCCCCAGAGTGAGCGTGAGGCAAGGGCAGGCAGGCTGGCGTGCCCACCGAGAGGCCTGGCTACAGAGGGCAGCGCCTTAGTGCCGCGAAATATGAGCTAAGCTGGCAGACAGCATGGGCTGTCTGTGCAGACAGTACAGGCTGTCTACATATGCTCGGCCACCTACCGCACGTCGTGTTGTTAGGTAAGACCATTTTGATGTTTACCGCACGTCGTCCCGATGCAACAATACTGGTGGTAAAAGAAACTCGGTCTCTCTCTCGTAGGAACAGGGCACAGAACACAAAATAAAAACATATATATACATATGGACATGGAAGAAAAACTTCCTACAGGGAGGGAAGAAAAAAACATGTGGGGTGTGCTAAACATTGTGATCATAGGCAGTGAGCGTCGAAGGGCATCACTGCATGCCTTCCTGCGTCTGGACAGATACTGCAACACAGGAGACATCGCTGCGGCTGAGCTGTGACGTAACAGGGTATGGTCTCCTATGGAACGGTGAAGCAGTCATCGTAGGAGTAGGAGTCGCTGCAGGTTTTCACTCAACCTGGGGCACGACATGCTGGTGCCCTCGAGTGAGGCGTCGACAAAACTCGGCAACTGGGCAGGACTTCTGGCAAGCAGCTCAGGAGGACACTTCTTGACTGGTACTGTCGCTGGGCTGTCACTGCCAGCGAGCGTGGAGAGAGTTGTGGAGCGAGTCGTGGCAGAGACGACTGGGCGAAACATCTGGGAGTCGTAACATCATACACCAGACTGCAGTGAGCGAGCTAGCAGTCAAAGCGACATCTTCTTTGTGCAGGAGCTCACTGAAGCTTGACACGAGGCTGACACAGTGCCTACCGACAGGGCTAACTGCGGCTTGAAGAGTGTCATTCTCTGGGCAGTTGGAGTTATAGCAGAGGTTAGTCTAAGCGTCCCCAGACTTGTTTCTCTACATATAACTGCACTCTGAAGGTCTGGAGGTGAAGTGAAACAAATCTCGATGGGAATCGTAGCAGGTACGATTCTGCAGAACATCACGAGCGATGAGCATAAGAACTTTCTGTACAAGGGGGCTCATATGCTCAGGGGCTGACTGATAACAGCTGTGAAACACACTGGTCACATCGGGTGACTTAGCTCAGTGGTGCTACTCAGGTCTGGCTCAGACCTCACTGGACACACGGAAACTACACACACCTGCAGTACATGTGGTACACTAACATGTGAGAACACTGACTGAGAGGAATTAATTAACACACGACATATATCTTCTCTCAATCTTCTCGACAATACTGAAATAATTACTAGAAACACTCGATGTGACATCATGTGTGATGTCAGGCGTGATGTCGCGAGGTGACGTCAGCAGCACTGTGACGTCAGCAGACATCTCGAGGTGATGTCAGGCAGACATCGTGACGTCATGAAGTCGGGCAGCATCGTCGGTGACGTCGTGAAGTTGGGCAGCAGACCACAGCATGTGGCCTGGGGCATCTGGCAACTCACGTGGCTCGTAGGTCCACATGGCGTCGTCCACACCCCACGTGGCGTCGGGATCCACGTAGCGTCGTGATCTACGTGGCATGCTGATCCACATAGCTTCGAGTGGCGTGGGGGCACTCGGATACACAGCTCTGGCAATGAATTCACGTGGAAAACAGCAGAAAACACAGCAGAGGGAATGGGCAGTGGTGAGTAGTGTATGGTAGGCTGGTGAGGTGTGAGTAGGGTGAGCATGGGCAAGGTGAGGAACGGCCACTTCTTCCTCCTCCTCCCCCACCCACAAACACGTGGAGAAGCTCACACTGGACGCAGAAATCACCACAAAACTCACCTCTGGCTTGCTGAAACAGCTGTGCTGAGCTGAACAACAACAGCAACATACAAGTGATGCTGAACATGTGACTTAAAAAAAAGCGTGGGACGCTGTATGGGGGTCATGGGCCCATTTAAAATTTTCCTGAAGAAATTTCGGCAAATTTGGGCGGTCCTGTTTTCCCTGTGTCTGGTGCTAAAGGGCCCGACACAACATCAGGTAAACTCTTGAGAGAGGATGCCTTGTATGGGTGATAAATGAAGATGTTTCATCCCTTCCCTTCTTTCGGGAAAACCCAAAACTGCTGCAAATCACCGCTTCCCACCATTTTAAGGATTATTTGGTTTTTTGGGGATGGGGAGTAAATGATAGTCTTCGGAGGTTTTCTTTTTCTTTTTTGCAATGTCGTGGTGGGTAAACAGGTTTGTGTGTTGTGCCCAGGGCCCCGGGGGGGCCCCATCCCCACAGGGAGAGGAGCAGGCCTTCTTGACTGAGGGGAAGGGTCCCGCCAGAGGTGGGGTGAGGCAAGGGCAGGCGGCGGGCCGTCCCCACGAGAGGCCTGGCTAAAAGGGCAGCATTTTTGTGCCGAGAAATATGGAAAGGTGACGGGGAAGCAGGGCTGTCTGTGCAGACAGTACAGGCTTTTAAAGAAGTCACCCATACAACAGCTGGGGGTAAACCCCCCACACACAATGTTGGAGGTCAACATGACCATGTTGGGTCAACCATACACACATGTTGGAGGCAACCTTTTCACTAGTTGGAGGTAAACCCATACACCATGTTGGGGTCAACCATAACAATTTTGGGCGGTCAACCATAACAATTTTGGTGGTAAAACCATACACAAAGTTAAAGGGTAACCATACACACTTTTGGGTGAAAACCATCCCCACATGTTGGAGTAAAACCTACACACTGTTGGGGTAAACCCTCCCAAAATGTTGGAGGTCAAAAATAAACCCACATTTTGGGGTTTAACCATAAAACATTTTGGGGTCAACTATAAAACCTTGTTGGGGTAAACCCATACACAAAAGTTTGTGGTCAACCATACACACATTTTGGGTGGTCAACCATACACAAAGTTAAAGGTCAACCTACACCATGTTGGGGTAACCATACCCACATGTTGGGGTCTGCATCCGTGTTGGAGGTAAACCATACACAATGTTGGAGGTCATGCATACACACGTGTTGGAGGAAAACCATACCCATGTTGGGGCAAACATACACCATTTTGGTGGTAAAACCATACAACATTTGGAGGTCAACCATACACAATGTTGGAGGTCAACCATAACCATTTTGGGGTCAACATACCACATGTTGGAGGTCATGCATAAAACCATGTTGGGAGGTCACCATCCCCCAATGTGGAGGTCATGCTACAACGTGTTGGGGTAAACCCATAACACTGTTTGGAGGTCAAAATAAAACCCTTTGGTGGTAAACCATACAAATGTTGGAGGTAACCCCAACACACTGTTGGAGGTAACCCATAACCCAAATTTTGGAGGTAAAACCTTCACACATTTTGGAGGTCAACCTTACACACATGTTGGGGTTCAATCATACACCCATTTTGGGGTCAACCATACTATATTTTGGGCAAATGTAACACGTTGGAGGTCAACCATAACCATTTTGGGGTCAACCATACAACTTTTGGGGTAAAACCATAACA